TTTTTCCATCGACCCTACAAATTTATAGGGTTTGGGTGCGTAGGGTAGTTTGAAGGGATTCAAGGGACTTATGAAAATTCATTGACATTGCTACAAGCAGCAAACTCCATGTGACAAGACCCCACCTTGGAGAATGGTGAGAATGCCTCACCAAACAGGGAGAAATCCCAGCGAACGCCCACACCCAGTTCCGTGACGGCCCAGTTCCAGTGGTTTCAGGGTAGATGGGGTGGTTTACATGCACCCCAAATAAAAGACATCTTGGTGCCCGCGCACCTCTGAAACCACTGCATGACACCTGCAGGTCTTCATCCATTGGAACAGGGAGGCTGCTGGACGGCCATAAGCCTCCGTTGGATCTCGCCCTTGGCCAGTAAAGCGGCCCACGGCCACTTGGAGGCCCAATCCACAAGGGGGCGTGACAGACAAAAGCCGAAGGGACAGACATGACCGAGCTTTCTATGAAGATCCTCCTTTTTTGTATATAGAGGTCGCTGGTTAGTCCAATTCTCTGGCAGTACAGAATGTTCAATGTCTTTTTGTGTCACGCGAAATTGTTCAATGACAGATTGAACTACATCTTCAAGCACCTTCAAAGTGTCCAAGTTAGCTTCCGTTGGAAGCGACAGAGGGTCGTCCACGAATGATCCACAGTCCCACGGAGGTCGCTCCACCAGCGCTGAGCGAGCGATCTTCTACGGTCTGTCCTGTGACCTGTGCAACCTAGCCATTAACCATCATCATCCACGTTCTTCATCCTGGTAAATGGTTAACACCTGGTAGGATACCGACCATGAACCACATCCACATTCTTCATCCTGGTAGGATACACTGACCCAACATCTAATCGTTGGCAGATCCGCCGACAGATCCGCGACGTTCGCTACGCTGCCGCAGGCGCGTGACGTGTGGGCCCCGCCGCAGAGGCACTCGGTGGAAGAGGCGCAGCGGTGCTTTGCCGCAGCCTGGGACAGCGAGAGGTGCGCGAAAGTGGGGGGGTTGGGTGGGAAGGAGCAGTGGGTTGGTGGTTGAAGGGAGGTGCTGAAACATGCTGAAACTCATATACTAGCTACAAGGCTGTGACAGAATGTGTGAGAAACCCCCAGACTGTATTTCCTCTTGAGCAAAACAACATCAACAGATCCTTGGATTTGCCAAACGTTGTTGCTTTGTGCGTTCTATGTTGCTGCAGCCATTGTTGACTCCAATTTGTTTGCATCACTGGCATCCAATCCAAGATTTTACATCTCACAGTCCCATTTGGACACAGTGGAGAAAGGACATCATGTTCGCACATGTTCGCTCAGGTCGCAGTAGACAGTTTGATATTAAAACTATTTTAAACTCTAAGTGTCCTGGCTTTTTGAAGCTTCCGGGTGGACAGAACCAGGTTCGCGACCTGGTCGCAGTCGAGAGATCGATCGGCGATGCCCGAGGAGGCGCCGAAGGCGACCCTCACTGGCTCGCGCGATGCTGGCGGCCTTTCGGGGCCGCTTCCTGTGGACGGCCGCAGTGCTGATGATCTTCATGGGTGTCCTGGTGAACAGTTGACTGGTTGGGGCCGTTGGGACATCAAAGGTTTTTGAGCCCGTTTGGGCGCATTGGGCGCAAAAGGAGGTTGAGCGATGTTGAGTGTCCATTCATGAAAGGACAGATGAAGCCGGGCCCCTGCCCTAGTTAGGAAAGATGGAACAGGACGACAAGAGGAGTTTTGGACTTGAAGGGGGTGCTTCAGCAGGGCACCATCGTTCCGCTGGACCAATGGGCCGAGTTCAGAAGAAAGGGTAAGCCCAGCGACCAATTCGTGGGTTCTCATCCAAGTTGTGCGGAGACAGACATCTGGACAGATGTAAGCCCTAAGAATCCCCCTTCATGGCAGGTGTCGGGCCCGACCCCTTTTGGGGTCCGGACCCCGAACCCTATGGTCTCAGGAATGCCCCCACTGAGGCACGCAACTTTGCCAACCCTTCCTGGTCCGTGAGCTGGTGACATTTCTTCAAGGAGAAGGTAGGGCGAGTGAGCTTCTCTTGTTCAGTGTTTCGTATGCCCAAGATGCTACGTAATGTTAATGATCGGCCAATACATATTGTGTTTTACACATCCAGTTCTACATTCCAAATGTCATCAAATGTCTAAAATATTCAACAAGATGGCCCTGGCCCGGGGTGCAAAGCTGGATGGCGTTAATATATTAATCTTGGTGCAGATGTCAAGCTGTGCATAGCTGTGCCAGATATGTTTTGCCGACCTCTTCCCCACAAAGAACCAAGAAGGTATGGGGTCTAGAGATGGGGGTCACTAAATCTGCAAGCGTGCATGCATTAAGTCCCTGCTGCTTTTACCAGGAGAGTGGTAAGGCGAAAAGAACTTCTTTACCCAAAGCGTTTGTTCAGCATATTCTATTCAATTAGAAGTCTTGGCCGCATCCCTCCAGCAGAGGTGGAGTTTACGAGGGCTGGATCTTGGCTTCACTGCTTTTGCTGTGTTCCCTCTCATCTTCGATCCTCATTTGCGAGTACTTCCGGGCAGCCTCCATGCTTGGGGTGATGACCAGGACGACGGGCTCGTTCGCCTGGAAAGGGTCCGCTCTGAAACGGATGGACGGTCGGCTCGCTCCAGTCGGTCCATTGGATGAGAAGAGAGAGAGAGAGAAGAGACTGTTGGAATAGTATGCCGGAATTGACCCTCGGATTGTAGGATGGTCTTCTGATGTCTTCCGATGGTCTCCCAACTTCTTGTTGGGGTCCTCAGGGTTTGAACATTGTTGCTTCATTTGTCCGAGCTTTTTCCAGATTGATTATGATGGTGGTGATGACGAATATGGGCATCATTGGCCATCCGTCAGCCATTGGAGTCCTAGTCGACAAGGATCAAAAAAGGCAGGCAAGAATCTTTGGGCGTGTAAGAGTGCTGGATTGATGTTAAAGAGGCATTCTGCAAGGGTAGCAGTCTTGGGACCAAGATAAGGGGGACTGTCATTAGCTGCTCCAATCACTGCAAGGGAATGGGACTGACATACACAAAGCTTGCAAGGGAATCTTGAGATTTAGGACTCCAAACCAATCTAAACGATCCTAAAAGCATCTAAAAGCCTAATGCATTCATTGGGCACCCACTTGCCAGGTGAGAATCATGTCCCAAACCCTTTTGTTGCCCATGATACGCATCCATGGACGCAGGACCAGTGCGATGACGGCAGTCTATGACCAGGCGATCCAATTAAAAGCTACACAGCGCGCAGAGACCTCCACTGGGCAGACTACAAACTTGATGTCGGTTGATGCAGAGTTGCTTGGAGATGAGCCATCTGGTCTAGTATCGAAACGGCTTAATGTAGACTCTTGATTAATAGAACAGGCCTCCCCGGCCAATTGAATTGTAAAACCTTTTCACATGGGGGTTTGAAATATAATCCAGAGTCCACATGATGATGACATCGTCTCAAAAATGGGGTTTTCGTGTCAAAAACCAACAAACCGCTAGGACGTGTAGGGTGACCGGTGACCACAAGAGGGCGGCACTGGGATCTGGGATTTGGTCAGTGTTGTGGACTGTCGGTGTCATCGGCATCTGGGTATTGACTGGTGAGGCTGGTGAGAGGGCGACCATCGAATGGATGGTCAGTTTTTGGCCATTGACTCTCCAGAAAAGGGGCGGGTTCGAGGAATGAAAAGAGGAGCCCAAAACCTTCCAAACACCTATTATGCTGATGTGAGAGAAAGACCAGTTTCCTGAAAGGATCAACTATATGTGGACTGGGTCAGGCAACAAAGGCTCCAAAGATCAACAGTGTACCTGTTTCATCCTTTGAAACCCTGAGCTTCTTCGTTCCGGTGAAGCTGGACTCGTTTGGACTCAGGAGGTTCTTGCTGGCATGTCAATCCTGCAACTTCCTTTGGATGAGTCCATTGATGGTCTTGACCTGCGGGGCCATCATGACCGTCACTGTCGGTCCTTCAGCCTTGGCAGCTGGGAAGAAGCGAAGAAATGTTTTTTTTTGTTCAACCTGGTTTGCCTTTATGAACTCCAGCTGATTGAGTTGTCGTGTTTGTTTCATGTTTGTTTCTATTTAATGTTACAGTATGTTTAAATGTTGCATGAACATGCATGACATCTTTTGCCGCGCTTGCTGATCCCAGCAGCTTCCTCTTCTCAACAAAAGCACTACCGCAACGTGTCAACCGGTGGGCCTGTCCTCGGTCCTTCTTTTCTCGTCTTTCACGTCGTCGCTCCAACACCAGTGTTCCTCCGCTTCAGGTGGGGGTGGCCGTTTTGGTGGGCAGCATCCCTTTGCAGCAGTGCTTCGCTCGACGGGGCGGGCGCATCAGAGCGAAGTCCATGGTGCTCAAGGACGAGAGGATGAAGTCACTGGGTCGGTAGGACGAGGCGGTGGAAGTTGTGGGGGAATGGTCCAATTGGACCATATAGGAGCAGCAGGTTGGGGGAATCCCAGGTTTTTTTGAACGGTTTTTTGGGGGGTGACGGTGAAGATTTAGATGCAATCTAGTGCAATCGAATGGCTTCTGATGTGTTTTCTCCCTGAGGTAGCACGTCCACCCTGATGAGATGTTGAGAAACAGGAGAGCTAAGAGCTATAGCGATGACAGAGTCCTGTCCCTCTTTCAGAGCTCCAACCGACACGGTTCGGTCCCAACTTCCGGTGGTGGTCTTCTCCGGATGCCGGTCCAAGCCGTTGAGGTTCGTGACGGAGGTGGTGCAGGGCATTCGCATTGCCAAGCTCTATGCCTGGGAAGAGGCGATCTTCCGTATCCCGGCACCGCAACGCACGGAGAACGGAGAACTGTCGCCGAGGCCGAGTCCGAGTCCGTTGGACTGAAGGCCCCCTGGGTGGAGGCGTGGGGGATGATAGTCATAGTCGTGTTTTGGGATGGTCGTGTTTGACTCGGTGAAAAGGATGCAGCAGTGGATGCAGTGGATGACTCCAAAGTGAGAAATGGTTTTTGGGGTCAAAGGTGAAGATGCTTGGAGGGGAGCCACTGACAGTGTGGTGCTTACCACAGACAGTGCCACTGTCTACCTTTGTTCCTGGACAGGTTTGCCTGGTAATCAGAGATTGAATGGGAGAAAAACCATGAAAATACACTGACTGATGACAGTGGCCTGTCACACTTCCAGCCTTTGTTTCGGACCCCTTAGGCCTTAGGCTCATGGGAGAGGATTCTTCTAGTTGTGATGACATGTCCACCTTCGCAGCATTTCTTTGGGGCACATCTCCGAGCAGACGGAAGCCTTTTTTCGCTGCATCCAATGATGAGCGGAAGAGAGAATCTCACTTAGTTATTGTAGTCTTCGAGGAACGAATAACACAAATCAATTCGTGGCAGTGCCCAAAGGTCCAGGCATTTTCCAAAGGTCCCCCGGTCCACTGCTTTCGCCCCGAGGCAGAGTGGCTTTGAGACTTGGACCTCTCAGACGTGTGAGACGTGCCTATCGTACGCACGTAACATGCCTCTCAGACGCCTGCTGTATCGTACGCACATCTATTAGAAAGAAGAAATTGCTTCTGCCAATCTTCTAGTTGAAGACATTTGAAGGGTATGGAAATATGTTTTGATATCTTCTGTAATAGTTTCCCGTGCTATAGGCAAACAGAGTGAGAAGAGAAGGTGACAGAAGGGATCAACTCTTCGGTTTCAGGATCCCAATGAGTGCGTGTCGGGGAGAGCGTGGTGTCGAGCGTCTGTGTCCGATCGTGATGGATCGATACTAAGGACCCGACGACAGGAGTGCCGGACCTTGGGCACATCCCTCTTCTTGAAGATGCTGGTGCGGGAAGGCATCCTGGTGCTGGCTCCAGTGTCTCAGACCGAGACTGCAGCATCGTTCGCCCTTTTGACTGCTCACCCATGGCCACTCCATGTTTGGTCAAGGGCTGCTGCAGCTCCAGAGGTTGGTGATGTTCTTCCTCTAACCGCAGGGTATCCAAGAAACATGTTGGTTTCTGGCTATAACCCACATGAAATATCACGATATGAATTGGAATATGTATAATGCAACAAATTATGATATCAATATATCATACTTTATAATACTTGCTAATACTACAACAGTTCAGTAGAATCAACTCCTTTGCACGGGACCTGAGCATCCACCCTCGCTGCAGTTGCAGTCGGTCGCCTTCCCATCGACCTGGTCGTCGTTGGACCACATGAGGCACTAGCCATGTGGCTGATCTTTTGGATCCGGAGAAGTGAGGGTGGCGCCCTGGGTCTGGAGCAAGCAGTTTTGGCGCCCTGGGTCGCCCTGGAGGGGTCTCGGAGTGTGAGTGGATGAATTGGATGAATCGGTGGATGGGGTGAGTGAGGTAGTTGAGGAGGCGCGTGAGTGAGAAGTTTGTTGAGTATATTATTCGAGTATGTTCAGGCAGTCTTGGCAGGTGTTTGGATGCAATCTCTCAGCAAAGGACAACTCCAGGAGCTGTTTGTGGATCCAAGGCACTTTAAAATTTACCCGATCTCTTTTTAGATACTTAAAGACAGAAACAGAAACAGGCAAAAAGCATTACAATGTAGGACAACGGCGACATGTAGCTCCCATGTCAAATTTCTCACCAAGCTGGGTCAAGGGGCCTTGGGCAAAAGTAGGGAGCTGGTGCGGTGCCCCAGGTCCCTCTGGCCACATTTCGAGCTGGAACGCCCCACAACAGAAGCTGAACTGAACTTCCGGAACACCAACACGCGCCGCCCTGCCCGGGACGATCCCAAAATGGTTGATATATCGCTTCCCACTCCTAGCAGCTAGTCCAACGGGGTCCCGTAGCAGTCCGACCACGCATCAGTCTACGTGGATCGGTCGATCAGTTTCCGGATCGGTTTCAGGTGCTGGGACTCTTGAATACCCTGCGCTTTCCGTTGAACCTCTTGGCGCTGGCCATGCACCGTGGAACGAAATCCGGGTCCGAAGCGCCGCATCGACGAAAAGAGAGACAAGCCGAGGCGCCGCCTCGCCGAAAATCGGTGCGCGGTTCTCACGGGAGCTTTGCGGTTCTCACCGGACCTTAGGAACACAGACTCAGACTCCTGGGCTTCCATACTCTTTTTTCCAAGCCTGCTTAGGTGCTCCTTTGCTGCTTTGGTTTTCAAGCTGACAACGGTCTTTCACACCTGTTCAAGCATGCGTGTGTATTGGGGGAATCACTCGGCTACTAGTCGCTCTTGAGAAACGGTTCAAGCAGCGGGGGATGCTCCAAGATGTTCGTCAACCATGCAGTAAGAATGTTTCTATCCCAACACTCCATGTGTGGCATATTTACCTACATTGGGGTGGTTTTATTAGGGGTCAATGTATGTAAATATGCCAGTCCCATTAGTCGTGTCTAGGTATCTATATCATGAGCCGATTTCGGCATGTTCTGATTGAACGCACCATGGTCGCCTGTGACGATCGCACCGATGCGGAAGACCAGGAACGTGACCAGGGTGACCCTGCCGCGCAAGCGGCTTTGGAGTTCATGCCCTCACATTGCTGTTTGGGCCGCCCCTTCCAATTCGCTGTCCCGGAACAGGTGAAGAGAAAGCGACAGAAAACCCCATGAGATTCAATTGTAGAGTTAGATGATGTTGGCATATGTTGGCTCATCCTTTTCACATGCTTCATTTGTGCAGACATTTGTGTTTGCATTCTTCGGGCTCCTTATGGACCCTCTCCCCCAGCAGATCCAAGCACTTTGGTTAAGGCAGTCGGTGAACGATTGCCTTGTCTCCACTCAGCGTCTTGGGCACTACTTGCTGCGTGAAACGGCACGACCACGTTCACCCGAGCCAGCGGAGACGGCGACAGAGGTCCTGGTCGAGGAGGTCATTTGTGGTCGCTTGGTGAATTTGTGTGTTCTTGGGACTTCAGCAAATGCCTTTGTTCGAGGTCTGTTATGACCTCACCACCTCAAGAAGCGCTCTTTGCTTTCAGAAAGCGACCACTGGAAAAAACATAAAAAAAACATGAAAAAGCATGAACCACATTGAACAAGCAATAAGAACCCACCAATCTTCCAGCCGCACCCGTCTGAAGACGTCCTGTCTTCCAGGGTGGACCGCTACATCTCATCCCGATGCCTTCCAGCTGCTGCTGCCGCGCTGGGCCGTGCCGCAGGGCGCGCGCGTGGCGATCCTGGGTGCCGTGGGCAGCGGCAAGAGCTCGCTACTGGCGATGCTGCTGGGAGAGATGGCGATGCAAAAGGGCTCGGTGGCCTTGATGCCCGGTGAAAACAGAATCCATGGATATAGAGAAGTAGATGAAGTAGGATCTTGAGTATTGAATGGATTTTGTGGCGAAATATGGCCGAATACGAACGAAAAGGGTGTGTCTCATTGCCTGTAGCAGTGGGTAAGCAACTATCACTATTTTAAAGAGAGGCTTTTGCTAACCATCATCATCCGCTGTTACTGGAACTAGGATATACTCATAGAATACCCAACAAAAGAAAACATATTGGACACTCAGAGGTCGACTCCTTTGTTTTCCCCTCATCGGTTTGGATGCACATGTGGCTCATGGCTCCAAAAAAATCGTTTCAATCCATTGAGCTGTGGCTCCATGATGCCCTCAAAACGAGCGTCCAAAAAACTTGGAGTGTCCCCCATGACGTTTCTTTTGGGCGAAGAAGCCTCCAACTATGAAGTCAATCATGTACACTGTACACGAACACATCACATGGAAGTGGAGAACGCATGGTCCCTTGGAAGACTCCTTTCCTTTAAAAACTTGGGGGGGGTCCACGTCCATGTGATGTGTTCGTCGGAGTGTAGCAGATGTAGCTGGTGTTTGGCATCATCTCACACGTGTTCTGTCACAGTCGCTCAGGAAGGGCCGGGTGGCCTTCATGGCTCAAAGTCCTTGGATCCAGAACGCCAGCGTTCGCGAGAACATTTTGTTTGGTCATCCCTTCAAGGAGGAGATCTATCAGCACCTCAGCAAAGCTGGGAGTTTGGTATGGATTTCTAGGATTCTTTTGGACTAGAAAGTTGCAGACGTTCCCTTTTCGAGCATTTTTCATATTAGATTCGATCACCTTGACCGGTCTTGATTTGTGAGCCGTGTCTCGGAGGTATCTCAGGTCCGACACCTCGGTCAGGTCAGAGGTCACCGGTCACCCAAAACATCCCAAGACACCACCATTGGCGTTTAGTTCTAAACACGCACCATGTCTGAACATCTCTAACCTCTCAAGAAAGATTTGCTGTTAGGGTTGTTTTTTTAGCCAGTCATACGTGAAGAGGCCCTTCTCACCTGCTGTGTCCTCCTTCCTCCCAAGCCAACAAGACTATACTTTCTAATGACGAGCTAGGTTCAGACCCTGAGTTTGGGGAGCTTACTTAGATCCCAACAGGCAACAGATGGCAAGAGGCACTCCCAAATGACATGAAGGAGTCCTCTTGTTCATCAGTGTCTGTCCCCAAACCTGGTCAACGGAGAGCTACGCAGCTACTGGGTGGGCCACAGTTTGTGGCCCGAACTGTCCAAAGAAACTGTTGGTGACTCAAACCATCTCTAAAGCCATCTCACCAGGCTGCTCCAGCTCAGTATAGGTCAGTCTTCCCTACTTGTGAGTCTTTCCAGGTGCCCAGGAGGTGGGGCGAAGTCCATGTGATGAGTCGTTTGGGGTCGTTTCATGTCGAAGCTGGGTCTACACTGACATCATCGTAAGGATGACGTGGCATGGCATGGCCACGAGGTTCGGAGGACCAAACCGCTGATCACGAAAGGCCGCGGAACCCTGATGATTTCAGGGAGTTTTGGTAAATAACAAAGTGCAACAAACATTCCCAGACACGACTAATGGGACTGCCATCTATGCCTACATTGACCCCCCTTTCAACCACCCCTGGCCGTTTCTCGGCAGTCCTATGGCAGTCCCATGGATCGTCGTGTTGGGGATTGCTTGTTCAGTGCAACAAGTGGTTTGTCCCTGGATGGAGTGGAGTGGCAGTCCTCCACCTGGTGAGGCAAGTGCTCGATGCTGTGGTCCTCCGTCCAGACCTGGACACCTGGTGCGACGAGGACTTGACCGACATCGGCGAGCGCGGCATCAACCTCTCAGGCCTGGTAGGTCGAAGGTCTCATGTGACCTGGTTATACTTTATGCTATGCTACAAAAACACTACTCCCAACTGTGGAGGTCGCAGCCGGTCATTTGTGATGACTCACGAACCATTTGAGGGCTTTCAGTTGTTTTTTTGTGTTTTACTTTTAAATGGGTCTTTGGAGATAGGGCGACAAAGACTCTTCCAATTAAGCCTTACGCACGCCTTGTTCCGCCAACCATCGGCCGTTCTCCGCCAACCCACGGACGGTCGACCGATCGAGACGTCCCCGCGGGACGAAACGTGCCACGAACAGACCGCGAAACGAACACACCGCGCGTCGACCACCGAACATGAACAGAATAGACATGAATAGACGACTGACTGGTGCTTAGTAGGGAATGAGAGAACGACCTCTCACTATATAGATACCATGGGATCCATTCCCTCATTCTTTACTAAGCACCAGTCAGACTATGAGGGTGTGATTCAAATGTTTTGGGTACTTTTCGGTGGCAGAGCCGCGCGTTCCCACGCGCGTGCGTCACAGGTGGTCAGAAAGCTCGTGTGGGCCTGGCACGGTGCCTCTATGCGGCGGCGACGGAGCCTGGGCTTGGCGGAGGTCCTGGAACCTGAATGACCTCTATTTTGGACCACCAACCACCCAAAAGTCAAATGGGTTCCAGGTAAATATATGTTATTCATGTGGTGTTGATTTTGAACGCATTAATGTGAAAGAAAGGGATTGGAAGGGCAGGGAAGATAGGGAGGATATGCGTTCTAGAAGAAAGATTGCGAGTTAGAGCAGGATTGAGGTGGGAATGATAGGATTCAAGAGCTGAAAAAGGGGACACATTCAAGAGGTGTTGTATATGTTGTATGGTTTTGTAAGGAGGGCCTTGAGAGCAGCTATGCGAAAACTTCCGTCTCAGTGGATTTGAGCAACTTGTTGCTTTCAGAGGATACAATCTTGGATTAGTTGCAGATTGACCTCGAAACCACCGGTGCCACTTCGAGCAACCGGGGATGATCCCTTGATATACATGTGTTTGGACATTCTCCGGAGGCGAAGATGACTGGGTTGAAGAAACACTTCCCAGTTAGACTGGGTGTCTAGTCTAGTCAGCTTGTTTGCACAAAACTTCGCAAGAAAAACCATCTGAAGGATGGACATCACCTGGACAGCCTGGCAGGCGGATACTTGGGCTGTTCTGGCCTTTGACATTCAACAGCACGACCAAAATCCGAGGACCATGTGGATACTTTGCTTTTGGACTCTCCCTTTGCCGCGCTTGATGTGATCACTGCACAAGCAGTCACTTGGCCAACGATCGGAGGTGCTAGGACTGCAGACCCGGTAGTAGCACGGGAACACGGACTGTTTACAGCAAAGATTGCAATCCACAGATGAATTGTTTGATTTGTTTGTTCCAAAGAACATCCTGGAACAGAACAAAGAATCCAGGAATTGAATTGTTTACAGCAAAGATTGCAATCCTCATCCTTCTTGATGTTTTTGGGGAGGAGAAGATGTTAAGTCTCTGGATCTTCAGGTCATGGAAGGCCTTCTTCAACTCACATCCTCCTGCACAGTGCTTTGCACCATGTCCTCGCACACGCACCTGTTGCCACACTTCTCGGACGTCCTGATCATGGAGGGCGGGCGGATGCAAGCCTCAGGGACGCTGGCAGATGTGAAGCAACACTTGAGTCATTTGACCTATGAAGCTTGGTGGTTGAATTCGAGTCCTGGACTCGCCATGAAGCACGGCCTCAGATCAATCAATGAACGATGTTTAATGAATTATAATGAATTCAATGCTCTGACTATGTCAAGGACACCTCCAAATCGTGTCTATGTTCTGAAGATTTTCTATATATTGCAATATACACTTTAAGTAGACTTCTGGAATCGAGGTCCGAAATTAAATGGTTGCCCGCCACTCAACTGGAGTTCTGTTGTTCGTTATGGGGATGGGATTCTGTGTGCGTATCGTTGGCAAATCCTCCCAAATTTATATAATACGTGTCCGTCATTGAGCATGTTGCCCTGCCCAGAAGATGAGCTAGTAGTTAATAAAATCATATAGAATCTGACGAAAAAACATGGTGGACGAAGATGATTGGTCGGATAATATAGTGGACAAAGCGGGATAGTCCCATTATGTCCCATTTAAACAATCACACCATATCAGATCCATAAAATCCTTATCGGGTGTGTCTACTTTGGGCGCCCTAGTGACATGGGTTTGGTGGACTGGCATTGCAGTTCATCCCCTCACAAGCAGTGGAAGTTCATCCGAGATTCATCCTCAGAGATGGACTTCATATAATCTTGATATAAAATCACCAGCAGTGGGAGTGAACATTGGATGAACTTCATCTCACTGCTATACACATATTTTATAAATGAACTTATATATAGTGGGATTTTAATGAGTATCTTGATATACATCCGATATTTATCATGTTTTTCATCATGTTTTCCTTGTCCTCCCTTGGATCCGAACCCGTCGCCCAAGAAAGCCGAGTCACTCGGCGCGTTTTCGGCCCAGGACACTGAACCACCGGAGCCCAAGAAAGCTGAAAGCTCCAAGCCGAAGGAAGATCCTAAGCCGGCAGGTGCCTCCGCCAAGAAGATCCTAAGCTGCCAAGCCATACCGAAACACTGTGACTGTTTGGTTTTACCTTTTGTAGTGAGAAGGCATTGAACCTCTTGCCATTGTGACCTGCAGTTGTTTCAGGCGAGCAATTTCTCAGCAGAATGAAGATGAATTCTATTAAGCTGGTTATTATACATCCAAGCACGTATTTCTTATACATGTCCTCATAGGACGTTCAGAACCTCTCGTCTTTGTGAAGACCTCGGTGCCGAGGATCATGCGCTCGGACCAGACCCGCCACACCCGTCCCTTCAGCGCGTTGGGGAAGTTCTTGGGCGGATCCACGTCTCCCAGGTGAAGCCGAAGCCGAAGACTCACGGGTGACTCATTGGACCAGCTGCCTTCAAACTCACAGGGGTGACCAATGAACACCCCTACACCACACCACTGTGTTTTCGCTTTTTGGTGAGACAGGACACACCCAGACAGGAAGCGGGAGGTAGAGATGTGTACCTCTAAATTTTATTGTCTTGGTATTCTTTGTGCGTATACTAAGAGCAATGGCCTCCAACCTAGAGATGTGTATGAGTGTGTGATGGTGTATGCATGGAACCTGAAAAGCGATCTTCATACCAGAGCAGGTCTGGCGATCGCCCGGTTTGAGCAACTCCTCATTCCAACCTACCGCCCACACCAACCAGACTACCAGACTCTGGAGGTGGGGATATTTGCTGGCCTTCCCTGTCTTGATGATTTTCCTTGCAGGAGCCAGCCGTGTGCTGAACGGCCGCGACAGAGGGGGGATCTGAGCCAGAAATGAGAGTCCAGGAATGTTGGCGTTAGCTTACACCCAAAGTTTGGGTGCAAGAGCTGGGTTTATGTCAATGGTTTCAAAGTATGAAGTCAAAACTATTTCGGTAGAGAGGCGGCCTTTTCCACCAATAAGGGTTCGCAAATGTGCTTGGTACATACATGTACATACCTTTGCCATTGTTTGTTCCTCACCTTCAGTCGTGTTTTCTTCACTTCGTCTGCAGGACAGATCTGCCGGGCGGTGGTGGACATGACGCTCACACAGTGGGCAGCCGATCTCATTGACTTCACGAGCCCTTTCATCTTCATGGTGGCGCTTTGTCTCTTGCTCTTCTTGCGGAGCCTCGTTCTATCACACACCCTGAACCCAAGAAGAGCGGATCGGCGCGGAAATCTCCGATCGGCGGAAATCACCCCCACAAAGGCGGAGAGGCGGTAAAGGGAGGTGAGAGCTGGTTGAGTTCAGATCTATTCGTGGAGGTTGAGCTGGTGCAAGCTGAGAATCACCGGTCACCAGCTTGTTGATCACACTCTTTCGACATAGATGGCTTTATATACTGGCATAGACGGCTGTATTGCATCGACATATTTGTGTCTGTGTGTGTATGTCTATGTATTTGGTCAGAGAAGGCGTCTCAAATATTTCTCAACATTCTTTGTGACTTGACAGTTTGTAGATCCACGCGTGGGGCTATATTTTGAAAAAGTGTATAAAAGTGTATAATTAGTTAGTTATCAGAATCTGACCTGAAGCTTCAGGATCGTCTCATGTTCCTTCCTCACGCAACGCGCCACTCGCTTGTTGCACAACTCCATGTTCTGGCGCATGCTGCGCGCCCCGGTGGTGAGCTTCTTTGACGTGACCACCATCGGGGAGATTTGCAACAAGTTCTCCAAGGACTTGGATTTTGCGGATAGTCCCTTGCCCAGTTCCCTTGCACCTGACAAACCAGAGGAAAAGTGTTTGTTCCATGAGCAGACTTAGATGGAGTTTCGAAGCAGTTTCTCAACATTTCAACTCAAATCACCTGAAGGATACCCTTTCTGGCCATTGTGTATTGGATAACATGTTTGGGTAGTTTTGGACAACATTGGACAAATTTGGAAAACATGCAACAGATCCGATCTGGTTGAGCACGGATGTGTTCTACCACCCCCCAAAATAGCCGAACAAACTCACCCTCGATCCCTTGCCCCAGCAAAACCCGGAATGGGGGACAGAGGTTCGAAGTTTGGTTAAACAGTGGAAATAAGATCGGATTGCACGGTTTCCAATAGATGTTCTACTTGGAGATGTATACGAACTTCTATCTATGCTATGACAGGGGGAGCAGAGGTTCGATGGCACCGCACATGGTTCCGGTCCTGGTCTTACACACCCGAAGTCGAACCATCAGCGATCCGAACCCACTGGTGCCATCGAACCTTTTTGAAAGCCACGGGGTCGACCTTGAGTCGGGCGGAGGTCCACCCGAGCGAAGAAGAGGGTCGCCTTCACTGATCACACCTCTGCGAGCTGAAGGGTGTCACAGATCGGTAGATCCGGAACCAAAATGGGATCGGTCGTCCCGCTAGGTCCGGTCTCAGACGTGTGAGGCACACAGTGGGAGGCTGATCCCAGAGACCAGCACGCGACATGCACACGAAGAATCACCGGATTTGTACCACCCTAAGAATCTGGGCCCTCAAATAGATAGGGTTTGGTTCGGCCCCGGACCCCTGCCATGGAGGGTCCGACCCCTGCCATGGAGAGCCCAAGGATTCTTAGGGCAAGAGTCACCCAAGATGAGGATCGGTGAACGACCCTCCTTCCCTCTCGTCTCTGATTCCACAGTCCTTGGCATGGTGAGAAATCTCTTGTTCTCGACCGGTGTTCCGTCCGACACCAAGGTCAACTACCGGAGTTCTTGACCAACCTATTAAGCAACAGCGCTCAGCTGGCTGTGATCTTTGTCCTGGCCATCGTCGCTCTGCCGGGTTTCGCGGGAATTCTGCTGCTCATGGCATTTGCCTTGCTTCGTGTGACGAGGAGCGGAGCGGCGGAGCCTGAAACAGCGGCAGCGCCTTTTTAGGATGCGTTCAACACTGAACGGACAAGGCCAATAGAATCCGATCTATGTGATGTCATGTCTTGATATGGGTGTGGATTGTATAATAGGGAGACCTCCAACCAATGTCTTGTGGTCTAGTCTATAGTTCTTTTCTTCCAGGGTGTCTTTGGGAGGTCTCCCTATTTTAATAATTTAATACGCACCCATACGTGTTGATCTTTGATCATACTAAGTGTAGCCGCACTTTATTTTATACAGGGAACCTCACTCCTTTTCCTCCTGTCGCTTCACATCTAGAAATTCGTCAGAGCTTTCTAACGCCGCGAGCGAGCTTTTGAGCCTCGGACATGTTCAACAAAAGGGTCGATCAAAGTAAGACCCTTTAATGATGTAAATCAGCTTGTATCGAGGAGAGAAGTGCAGATGTCCAATCCCCAAAAGTAACCAATTGCCATCTCCTGCGAGCTATCCACACCTTGAATCCCTATTAAACTTTTCAGCTATGTGGATAATGTTGACCGCAATTAACGCACATGTCACATGACACACACAAACTTCTACTCGTTTATTGTCATGTGTTAACTTGTTATGTCCCTTCAATGCTTAGTATGACCCCCGAACATCTCTTCGCAAGCCCGTCCGTAGAGGAGATCCTCGAGCTTACTCCGCGCGCTGAAAGGTATCTGGGATTATCAGGGGTTCTTTTTGGTCGCCTGGGATATATGATATATTTTTCAGATCCTGAATAGATTCTTAGATCCGGAATGTGGTCTTTTTTGATCATCTTACCTATTCCTGGACTGGTGTTCACCCGGTATTGTTCTTCTTAACCTGGTCCCAGACGTCACGTCGACGTCAGATGTCAGAGACGTCTCTGGTCGCGGTTTCACGTGAGCTGAGCAGGGGATCTCCAGTGCTTCCCCCAGCGACCAGAGAAGCTACCGCAGGAGTTACGGACGACCAGGTCCATGGTCGACCAGGGCGGACCAGACCAGGGGCTCCGGGTATTGAGCCACACCCCAATCTGAAGATGTTCAAGTGTGGAACGTTTGGGAAAACTCGAGTGTTCTCTTCACGTAGGTGTTGGTGCTTCAAGCTGTTCAGTCTTCATCGCCAAGCATATTTCATTATATGTCATATCCTTCTTTGAGTGGCTCTTAGGTTTGTCCAGCAGGCTGGAACATTTGCCTGCTGGGTTTGCAAGGCTGTCTTCGCCAAGGCATGGAAGGCGCCACGCGATCTCCCATCTACAGTTCCTTCTCAGAAACCTTGGCCGGGCTACAAACCATCCGAGCTTGGGGCTTGCAGGACTCGGACGTGACTTCTGGATCAAACACAGAACTTCTGGATGAAAGGCTGATCTTTATTGTCCTTAACTTAGTCAAGTTTATTTTAGAATATGTTATATAGAGGGAATAAAGGCTGGCAGCAGTGTATTTCACTGAACAACCATGCCATAATCAGGTTCACGTTTACTCATCACAGTCGTACCATTTTTTTTCGAGCGGATGTGTTCATACACTTAGTAGTTGTGTTTTTCTTACGAGTATAGGCACTTAATGCTTTGCACATCAACCGCCTCTGCAGTGTAAACTTGGCGGTCTTGGGGTTGAACAAGAACAACTGACCCATGAAAAGTCTACCTCCTTTTAATTCACGATCTGTTTGAACAGACATCATGCTTGGAGACCAACACAGTGTGACAACGCATGTGTTCATATGGGGGTGGATTTAAAATAGGAGATGCCAGGACCCCTCAGCTCGACCCTCGAACATCAAAAAACACGAAATCCATGGGAGTTGGGAGGTCCCCCAAAATACACATCCAGAGGGTTTGTCCGTTCTTACCTGTAACAGTCAGTAAACAATAGTCACATTTTGGGACAAGGCCTCTACTAACCATCATCATCCACTGTACCAGGTAATAGGATAGACCCAACACATCCATATTGTGTTCCTGCTGGAAAACAGCCTGGTCTTTCCTGTGCTCAGCGGGACCCTGTTTCAGGAGCGGTTTCGGCATGAACATTTGCAACGGGTGAAGGAGAATGGACGGTTCTTCTTCACGGCAGAGATGTCCAGCGCCACTGGGACACGGCACGGCCCGAGCGGTCCACGGATCATGTGGGAAAGAGATAGAATCAGAATTGATCAGAATTAATCAGGTAGATATATAGATAGATAGATAGATAGATAGATAGATAGATAGCAAATAGCATGAGATAAATCATGCATGTGCATGCCTTTTTTTAGATATAGTTGCGTCCAGGTTTTGTGCTTGCAAGGTAGTCTTTGAAGACTTGAAACCAACACCCTCAATGAAACCCAAGGCTCTTTGTTTGGGGGGCGTGTCCTAGCTCCCGTCTTGGTCTAAGGTTCCTGTGCGTCTGCCTTCGACTCATCCAATCATGTTTTCCGTTCGGATCCGTTACAGAAACCGCCGGTCCACCTTTTCGCCATGCCACTACCGGACAGTACCGGGCCGGTCTCGTCGCCACCGCCGAGGTATGGATCATGTTGCGCTTGGAGCTGTTCACCGTGTCTTGGAGCTGTGGGATGCTGTGGGACCGAGTGGCATCCCATGTCGTGCGGCGTGGGGGCACCGGAAAGACCAATGCGTTGACGCGTCAAGACCATGTGCAACGATGGGAAGCCGGGCATGTGAACAATCGGTTTCCCCTTAGTCCTTTTTAGAGGCTTTTTGCAGACATGGTTGTAGGTCAAATAGAAGCCTCTCCCAAATTAAGGTGGATTGATTGACCTTCCTTGAAGTCCACGGGGTCAACTAGGGTTGGTTGGCCTAAGGGGTCACCCATTGGACACCGGGATGTGCTGCTTCCTGCCATGCTGCTCTCCCGCGGCAGTCCGACGTCGGCGCAAAAAGCTGACGTAGACGACAACGGTCCGAGACGACCACGGAGGTTCTTTTGTCATCCTAAAGATCCTTGATCATGGTGGTTTGGTGGTTCTTTTTTGGTTCTTTTTTGGTTTTCTTTGGACATGGTCATTGATGGACATCAAGCACATACAAAATCGATCAAAATCATACAAAAGCTTCAGGGATTGTCATGCATGCTTGTGACACAATATCTCGCATGAATGCGAAAAGACTGCAAAGCTCTTTGACGGAATGATTTGCAAAAGTTGTGGTCACATTCTCTACTGCAGCTAGAATAAACTGCATGCTATCGTCAAGATGCCTGGTAACATTCACTTTGCTAGATTTGTTTAATGTTTTTTGAGGCGTCTAGACTAGACAGTGATTCGGGTTTCACAGGTTTGCGCACACCAAGACAATTTTTGAGACCCCAGTTTTTGCGAGGTGGTCTTGATTGGCAGCTTTAGCTTCATGGCTGTGCTGTTCCATGGCTTGCAGCTCCATGTCGATGGCCCTCAGATCGGTATCGCCCTGGCCGCTTGACGGACGCAGGTTCGGTGGGACGACCCTCCTTATGGTCCTTACGACCCTTCGCATAAAATTTTATTGGTCTGTTAAGGGGCCATGTTCCACTCCCATGTTTGGATAGAAGACAAAGAGTTGAAGAAGCGAATCATGAATCTTGGATTTTGAGTCCTGTTTGTACTGAACCTGTTCATCCCTGAAACCACGGCCCAGTTACTACAGTCTGGGGAACGGGGGGTGGGCGCAGGTGATATCCAATGACTACGCAGCGCAGCTCAGTCGTTTGGCCCCGGGCCCCACGTCCTACCGCGAGCCATTCAGATCATTAGAGAGTTCTCCCTGAGGTCTACGCCATCCAGATGACCGCATTATTTCAACGCAACGCCCAGCTGGTGATGTTGGTGGGACAGATGTTGACCGCCTGCGAGCGAGTCTTGTCCTTCGAAGAGGTGGGAATTTGGGGAAATGGCTTCAGCGGGTCAAAAAACCAGAGACATACAGGTCTCGGGTGATTCTTGTGGCGATTTGGATCTGATTGGTGTGTTTAGGTTTCTTTGCACGCCAACGTGTATGACATTTTCTAGTGATGATTTCTATACAGTATGCTTTAGTGGACACCCTGCTGCATCATTCGAGCCTTTTTTGGGTATCAAAACGGACTGTTGCAAGTACCAATGGGCACAGAACAGCTCCTATCGGTGGAGCATGGTTTTCCACACTCCTCTCTGGCAGGTGGAACAAGAGCCTGCCCTGGTGGCGCCAAGCGACCAAGACTTGATGAATTGGCCTGAAGGATCCATTGAGTTTGAAGAAGTAGCTCGCAGAAGGAAGAGGAGGATCCCGGAAACCGCTTGGGAGCAGGAAGAAGCGTCCCTGAAGCGTCCCTCTTTGCACAGCACATGTCTTTCATTCTTTTCACACAGTTTGATACAGTTGAAGCCTCGGGCACCCCACTTAGTGGAAGGGCTTTTGAGGGGTGGTGGGTTTCGTCAATCAAGTCGACAGCATCACGGTACCAGGTTACCCGAAGGCCTTTTCCGAAGCACTCCATCTCATTGGGGTTTGGATCCTTGAGAGTTTGGAGCAAAGGGCGGCGGCTTGCCCAACACATGTCTTCAACTTCATCCTGCGAGGTCTGAAAACCCCGTAAAAAAAACAGACAGATTCATGCGGGTTCCCTCTGTTTGTTTCACATTTTCTGCCATCATGTGTGTTCCCCTATCAGAGTGTGGACTCTAGTGCAAATGGATCCTGCACGACATGTGACGCTTGGCAGACTGATCGAACAATTGATGAAAAGACTTCGAACGCTTTGTAGATGATTAGTTGCTTGATTCTTACCGTGGCAACTCGCAAGCGGGTTGGAAGAGATGCTCCTTGCAGAGGTCCCAAGCAGCTATTGAATAGTATTATTGATATTAATTTGCTTTTTAGACTGTGATTTCTTGGCTACACTCATGTCAAGAATGGCACGGACATATACCAACCTACAGTAGACACACGACACTACTCCACCAACCAAGCCGTTCTCGCCACTCCCAAGGGCCCCCTCTCACCCTTTGCCTCCCCAAAGCATCAGGTTTCCATGAAGTATCGTGACGGTGACCTTGTCCTCAAGAAGGCCTCCTTCACAGTGGACGCAGGGACTCGAGCGCCCTTGCAGCAACATGTTCGAGTTGTTTTGCACATCTGAGAAGTGGGCAGAAAACATCGGAATTCAATCATATCATACGTATATATATATATATTATATATATATATATAGCCATGAGGTTCTTCTTTGAACGCTTTAGACCAACCACCATGCACTCCAAAGCATGCTAAAGCTGCTAAAGCACCAGTTAACCCTTCGGACATAGGAACACCTCCAAAGACGCGCCCCCGATACGACCCCAACTCCACGCGTCCTCCAACTCCAACATCATCCCACTCTTCACCCGGGGCTTCACCGCTGTTTCCGAGGTCGGGGTCTGTGGCCGCAGCGGCGCTGGGAAGAGTAGCCTGGTGGCGGTGCTCTTTCGCGTCGTCGTCCCTCGGTGGCAGCGGTGGGCACCGCGTTTCGAACCGGCGAAAAGCGGAAAGCTGGTCGGAAGGCTCAAGAACAGGGGTTCCGGGCAAAATCGAGTCTTGAGCCAAGTCACCGATGTGGTTTTTCCATACGGTCCACAGATGTCCACAGTGTCTGTGTGTGTGTGTTTGTAAGGAGCCTGAAGAAGAAAGGTAGGCTCCCAACTGATCTCGTGGGCAAAACCTGAGTTTAAACTAGATATAAAAAAATACATATGAACATCACAAACATGACAGATCAAACCACTCAAGCTGGGGGGTTTTCTCAGCTTTGAAGATGCCAGCCTGGCCAGGCTTCCACCGGTGCGGCCTTTCCGGTGCCGAGGACCCCTGCCACGGTGCGGTGCGCGTCGACGGCGTGGACATCGCCACGCTGGGGCTCCACACCTTGCGCCGCAACTTGTCGCTCATCCCCCAGGAGCTCCGGTGGAACGTGGGGTGAAGCTGTGCCCTGGGTGAAGCTGTGGGTCAAAGGAAAGAAAAGGACACAGAAATGAGGTTTTCCAGGGTTCTCCCACATCATAACACGCCCCTTCCTTTTTGGGGGGCATGCACGCTAGGATCCAGTCATCTTCAGCGGCTCCTTGCGCTTCAATTTGGACCCCTTCCAGCAGATCTCGGAAGATGAAGAGCTGCTGCAGGCACTCAAGAAGGTTGGCTTGGTGGGTACCTCGGCAACACAGCCGGGAGGACAAGGCCTTGGGCGGAGAATGGGTGCAAGGGAGCAGATTCGGTTGCGTTTTGCCAGTTCGGAAGACGGTTTGGAGTTACACTGTCCGTCAGGTTTTTGTTGGGTGTAAACAACTGTCAGCAAAGAGTCAATCGGGATTTGTGGGTGAATGACTCCAGGCACTGTATATGTCACTGCGAACTGTCTATACTCAATTGATGTGTTGTGCAAAAGTCCCTACGTAGAGCTCAGGTGTGGCTGGTCACGTTTACAAGTCCAGGTCCAATGCTTCATGTCATTTATTCCAAGGCTGTCAAAGATCCAAGAGATATAATTGCAGGGGTATACTGGGGGCTTGTCAACTGAACTGTCAACCACTTTGCATGCTGAGACCAGAGCAGTTTCTTCTCAAACGCCTAGGCCTTGACCTTGAGATGCGCATCGCCGAGCAGGGCGAGAATCTCTCGCAGGCGAAGTTTGGGCTTTTGAATGACAACAACTTCGATCAAACAGCTCTGGAACATTGCGGATATAAAAGGAAGTAATCTGACCCCCCACATTCAAGCATCTACAGGCCCTTGTTGCTGGAGAAAATGAATCAGTTCCAATCAGTTGAGTTGTTTCTCTATTTGCAGGAGCCATGAGAACCAATCTTCTGCAGAGGAAGACCAATGGATAATTAACCACTGTTATCCTTATGATTCATAGAACCAGGAAGATCAACAGCACTGAGAGTGCCGTGACCCATGGCTCTTTTCAAGTCTTCTTTGTTTTGAGCCTGCTCCGCAGGGCCAGCGCCAGCTGTTGTGCATTGCACGTGCAGCTCGGTGCAAGTTCGCTCGCTGCAGAAAAGACGTAGTGACAGACTCCTCGGACTCCCGTAGCGGGCGTAGTGATCTTACTCCTTTAAAGGAGCCCAGTAAGGAGCCCGTAGTGACATGTTTTTCAGATCTCGTTTGCGGACGACACGCGGGCATGCTAATGTCTCCGGCGTTTGCTTGCTTTAGGATGAAGAGCTTGCAAGCGCTGCATGAGGCAAATCGCATCCGGTCGCCCTCTTGTTGAATCCTGGATGGTCGAAAGTACCCTCACTGAGAGGAACATGTTCGATGCAGCAGTGTGTGTTTAATCCTCCCATGGCCAGACTCATTGATCGTCTTTTTGGGGGGATGGTTGGGGATGGTTGGGGATGCTGTTGTCGCAGAACTTGAGGTCTTTGCTGCGCCCACACGTATCCTGGTGCTGGACGAAGCTACATCAGCGATGGATTCTGGGACTCGACAGTCGATGACGCTGCACTGTGGCAGAGTCATCAAGGTTCATATTTTCTCCTCCCCATGTTTGGCATTGGAGGGGTCCTATTCAATGCTTTTGACGGAATGCGACTCATTGCGAGAATCGGACATTTATCTTGGGGTTTCTCAGTCTTGTACACTTTAGTCACAGCGCAACAACTTGTGCTGCTATTGAGACGACAATGAAAAACACACAGCAGACGGCAAGAAATATACTGCTCAGATCGCAACACCCTACTGCTCACAGCCATAGGGCTGAGTGCCATGTGACTCCAACTGTTGCGTTGACCTCTACTTGTCTCTGATATGTCTGGAAGTATGTCTGGAGAAGAGCCTGTTGTGACTTTGCTGTGACTGAGCTGTAGAAGTTATATAGGAGACGTCGGATGAGAATATGTGTGGTGGATTTTATAGATTAGTCCAGTCTCCATGCAGAGTACTTCTCAATTTTTTGTTGATATATGTACATGTGTGGTGCCCTGGAATTATTCCAGATGGTTTGGATCTAGGTGCCTTCCGTCACAAGTGGTGAATCTCATCCGATCCTGATACATTCTAACTGCACACATTCCTTCCCCACCATCTCCATCGTGGTCTTGCACCAAAGTCAAAGAGGGTCGGTCCCTTTGAGAGGCGGCGTGGGACAGCGGAGTTGTGACACACAGGCCGTTTCACCTGTAGTAAAATTCATTTCAATAGGCCTTTTTGCAGTGCTTTTGATTGATAGGACGACTGCTTTTGGTGCTACCACTCCTATGGCCTTTGCTGAGAAGGTCTAGAAGACAAGAACGCCTCACGCAAATACACCAATACTCGCTCAAGAAGAATGGGTTGGCCGAACTCATCTGTGCTTTCATCCTTCGCGCTCCTCATGCTGACTCACATGCTCTTTCGCCGCCGTTTTTAGGATGAACAGACGGATGAGTTCATCAAGGAGTTGCTGCGCACCACTTGGTCCGAAGGCCCGATGGGCCACGGGCCGTCACGCTGTGAGGGCCGTCGAAAAAGACACAAGGAAGGCGTATCAAGACCAACAGAGGTTAAGTGACCTGAACTAGGACCCTACTGGGGTACCTATAGGATAGCCTGTAGGGTTCTTCAACCTCTGTGGAGGCAAACTCTTTTTTCTTTACAATGGATATTATAGTTACACCCCCCCTGCATGTGGATGGTAAAATCTCTTCTGCCATGGGGGTTGAAATACAATCAAGAGCCGGCTAGTTTGGCTAGTTTGTTTGGGAGGGTCAGGATGAAGTCAAAAGTTTCTTGGAACTCACTGAGAATGACTACTAGAGACTCAACGTTGTTGACTCCGTTGGACATAGCGCCTCTACAACACTTAAAAAGTGTTCAGGCACAGAGAACTGTGTTCAATTCAGTCTTGGGTTTAGATACTACCCATGATTTTCGCTATTTTGCCGTTCAGGATGCCAGACTGTTTGTCGTTGGCTGTTGCCCAAAGACCCAGCTGTCAGGTCACCACACCGTCCTCACCATCGCACATCGCCTGGGCACCATCATTGACTATGACAAGCGACTTGGCATGGCTCCGAAGCCGGGAACAGAGAGGTGTTTTGTTCCACCAAAAGCACCGAAAAGTGTCTCTTAAGACTCTTGAGCTGCAACATTTGAAGGGTGACTGCTGGATTTTCCTCCAATGTCAGACAAGTCAGACGCACGAATCGGAGTCGAATCGATGGATCCGGATCCTGAACGTTGCTGCGTTCGATGAGAATCCATGGATCATCATGGATCTCTTCTAACAACAAACACTTCACAACAATGAGATCCGATGAGACGAGTGTTTCATTTGTGACATCTGGCGCGCGCGGGACCCGGGAGGGTGTCACGGGATGTCCTGCCCAGCTGGAAGCTCTTTCGCTGCTTCTGTGACACAAGAAAAGCATTGAAACAAAATTGAAGCTGTATTCCACCACCCAAAGGATTGTGATTGGATGGAAAATACATCTTCAGGGGTGTCTATAAATCATCCTTTGGGTGGTGCTGGTGTATGCCAACTGAATATATTCAAAAACTATGTCAAACTGTTTGAAGTCATTGCTTCTCCATGCGCCCAACGTTTTTGGTGTTGCTGGTGTTGCTGTTGAAGTCGCCATCTCAGAGCCACTGCTTCTATGTCACTGCTCTCCTTTGCGCCCGACTGATGCCTGTCGGTTGGCCTTTTCTTCAAGGGGTCGGTGAGCATCGCTGGAAAAACTGGTTTTTTTCGCCTCATACCAACAGAGGTGGAACGTGACCGTAAATAGGACCCTACAGGGGTACCTATGGGATAGCCTATAGTATAGGGTCATTCAACCTCTGTTGGTAGTCGGGGTTGATCGCAGATCTTTGTGTGTGTGTGTGTTTGTTTGTTCGCACAAGACTGTTCGAAGCTCAGTACACGAAGAGAAAGCAAGTCATCCTCAACATGCACGCCGTTTTGTGTCTCTGCTGCTGCTAGGGAGAAGATGATGAATGCCGAATTCGCACAAGGTAGTAGTACGCTGCAGTACGCTGGGCACTAGTTTTGGGGGTTTCATAATATCCTTTTGATTTCTGTTTGATGCACTCTGACTGACTAACATGGAAGTGGAAAATCCTTTGTTTGTAAAGGAAAGTAGTCGTCCAAGGCGCCATTTTCCACTTCCATGTTAGTGAGTCAGAGTGTAGGATGTTTATGGATGTTTGAAACAACTTGCAACAGCAAATGTTCCTGACCTGTAGCTGACGGGTCAGCCAAACCGTATTTGGGGAGGCCGAGATATATCGACTTCACCAGGTCAACCCTTCCTACCCGAAGCCGGTGGTGGCATATGTGGATGAGACATGATGAGGGGTAGCCGTGTCGCATGAACACCGTGTCGCATGAGGGGTAACCCGGGCAATCTCGTGCCGGGACGGACCGAATGTGGATCTGAATGTGGTACACCTATGAGCTATGAAGGCCTGCCGAAGCGAATTAGGGTGGCATACCCGAGTTGAGTGCCTTCTTCGTTGCCACCTGTTTCTGCCAACAGGTGGGTTTACGGCCGAATATTCTCATTTGCAGAATTTGTTTGGGTATGATTCATGATTTTATTTAATACAGTATGAAGATCATCAAGTCATCAGCAACCTAGATACATAATATGTCAACACCTCCCAGATAATTATGTCAAACCACCGGCCATCTCAGGATACTCGTGCTTGCCTCGGGCGAAGTGGCAGAGTTCGACACTCCCCAAGAGCTGCGAAGACGGCCCAAGGGGCACTTTGCGCAGATGTGGAGACCTGGTTGCCCTATATACAAACCGGTTTTTCGTTACGCGCATGCGCAACCCAATTGATATAGCAACCTTAGCCCAGAGCCCTGGTTGCCCGGAGAAATGTGACGATGTTCCAGGGAAAACCCTGCGTGTGGCCTGCTTTGTGCAAAATGTTTGGTTCGGCGTTTGAGTGGTAAAACGGGCAAATTCGGACGTCGGAGCCGTAAGGACATGGAAACCCTACCAGCTGCTTGAACCCACACTACCCATAGGTCTCCATTGGGCATCCCTTGGATAAATGATCTTAATAAGTCATAACCCTACACTTCCAACTAAGGATTTTGCACTACAAAACCAGTTCAACCATTTTTCAAATAGTCTTGGAAGTCTAGGGATAAGATTTACATGTTTCATCGGTCTTCGGCCCAACGAACACTGTTTCACGGCCCTGCAGGGGCCCTCCCCGCATCTCCCCGCCAACTGAAGCGTTTGGGTAGCCGCCACTTAGCGTTGGGCGGGAAGCGTTTGGCGGAAGTGGGTGGCGTTAGCATCTGAGGAGAGAAGTCATGAGAGAGAAGTTCGAGACTAAAGCATCCTTGTAGTTCGAGCTGGCGGTGTGTTCTCTTGCCCAGGCGTTCCGCAAGCACCGCTGAAAGAAGTCGTGTCTGACACGAGCCCAGGAATTGGGGTGGTTGACCACCTCTATTTAAGACTCTATTTTGGACCACCAAGCACCCAAAATATGGTCTTTTCAGGCTTTTCCTATCAAGACAGAGGTCAGAATGGGTTCTTGCCATGGAGTCTTTTGGGATGTTGACGGTTAATGTTGGACGCACAGTGTTCTTTCCCGGAGCGCATGCATGTTTCTAAGTGTTGTTCACATGTTAGGTCAGCCCCGCCATTGCAAATGGATGCAAATGGGTCTTCAGACAGCAGGCCTTCCGGACAGATCCGGACAGTTGAGTCTTGTTCTGAATAGTACCTGATTACACCCTCAACCTGAACACCCTCAACCTGACTCAACCTTTGAGGATAAGACCACCAGCAGTGAGCGTCGCTCTGCTGGTTTTCTCCTTAGTTGGTAACCTAGACGTCAGCTTGCAAAAGGCAAAGCCCTCCACTTGACGGCACAATGTGAAAGGGGAAGCGCAAGCAACCAACAGTGAAGGGTCCAGGGATAGCTCACAAATCTCACTAACACGTCGGCTCGCCGATCCTACTCTCCTCGGAGCATCCGACCAATGTCTGTGAAGTGGCGGGGACTGCGTGACTTCCAACCACCGTCCGTTTTGATCAAACATGCACGGGCGTCAGGCGGCGCTGCGATTGGTCCCCATGGCCGTGGCCTACTGGGAGACTGTGGGATGCAACGTTGCCGTTTACTCGCTCGGTACGGGCCACCAAGCGATGGACCAACATGAGGTACTGTCTATGTCCTCTTTTTGTGGCACACAGATTGCGCACAGATTCGCCATGATTCGCCTATCTCATCAAGCTTCCTTGCGAATTTGAGATTCCCATTCTAGAGCGATTGTATAACGTGTCGCTCTAAAAAGTGAAGTGATATATGATAAATGTGCGCAGGTGGAATGGAGATGCGTGTTGAGACACACGAACGCCTCAAGTTTGCTGTTTTCTTGCACGTATTCTTTTTAACAAGGAAATCCGAAAACAAAACAATATGCAAAACAAACAGGTGCTTTCAGAATGGCCCAAGAAATGATGGGTGAAAGTTTGAAGAAACTTGAGGGGTAGTTCATTTGGGTCGTTGCCCTGTGTGGGGCTGGACCACAGCTCTGCTGGCGAGCATGAATTTGAAGGTCTCCCGAAGGAGAGCTTCATGGTTTTGCTCCATAAATTACCCCCCTTTCAAACCGCTACTAAGCTACCAACATGGTCGATTTTTGATGATTTTTGGAGTAGTTTTTTTTAAAGGTTCGCCCAAACTCCCTCAAAACAGGTCCCAATACACCCTCAAAATCGACCATGTTGCGTTGCTGACTCTCCGCTGGCTGCGCCCCCGCTGCCTGTTTGCCTCTCGTTTCTGCTGTCAAACGGACTGTCTGGCTGTCTGTCCGGCTCTGGCCAGGTTGATATCCTCTTGCCAGTCCTCTTCCCCCAATCCTACAAACATGCCGCGGTTATATGCTGCACCTGCCACCAAGTACTGCATTACTACGAAATCTGCACTTCCTGGTCACTTCAAGGTCCACCAAGTACTGCACCTGCCACGAAATATGCACCTCCAGATCACTTCGAGGTCCACCAGGTGCTGCACTTGCTACGAAATCTGCACTTCCAGGTCAACGAAGTACTGCACCTGCCACGAAATCTGTACTTCAAGGTCCACAAAGTACCGCGATCCTTCCACTGACCCTATTTTGGACCCCCCCGATTTCAGTGACCCCCTATCAAAAAATATGCGACCGAGTTTTTCCTATTAAATAGGGGGCGCGTGTCTTTTAATAGGTGGACAGGATTAAAAGGAATGAGCTTCCAGGAGATTGTTTGGTGAGGGCCTCCTTTTCTTCAAGCCCCTTTCTTTCTTTTACTCAGAAGTTCGCAAATGTTCCTTCAATGGAGGGCTTGAACTTGAACTTGCCACCCCTTCTAGTTCTAGTCATTGATCCATTCTTCGCAGGTGGAAGTGCTTCTCCGGCGATTTCCCACCAGGGAAATGAGGAAGATGATGATCGCCATGCAGATGGAGGAACCAGAGGAGATCGACACCATTTCGGAAGGAAAGCAACCAACAGTGATGAACAACATCTTTTGGGTCGCCACACATTGTGCTGCCTACAGATTGCATGCGGAAGCGCCACGACATTGCGCTGCCTACAGATTGCTTGCGGAAGTCTGAGTGGAGGACAAGACCAATGGAGTCTTGAAAAAGGGAAATGTATAACTACCTACGAATTGAAATTGCCAAGCCATTGTAGCTCGATCGACTTCTCAGGGTCGCATCCTGGTGAAGGATGTGCGAATAAACAATGTGGGTCAAGGCCTTGCGACCGTCCGAAGGGTACACAAGACACTTTTGGTCCTTTGCGCGAAAGGCTGCAAACTTGAGTTTAAACAGCACTGGTTTTCCAATCATGAACGTGATCCCAACCCATTCCCCCAATGTGGTGAGAGGTCTATAGATTGCACATATGCAGCCCTTTGCACAGTCTACTTGATGGTTTTTTTGGTGTTGACTTTCTTAAATATGTTCGATGTGTAGCTTTTGGGATTTAGACATTGTAAGTCAAAGTTCTAACCATCTCTTGGACACATGAGGCTGGCAAAGCTTCGATCCCACAAGCACTATTAAAAAAGAAACAACAACAACAACAACAACAACAACAAGGCCTTGTAGGATGTGGTTGTTTTTGGATTTCAAGATCTTCCATTCTTTGGTCGGTGTCACCCCGTCGTTCCCAAAAGTCATTTGCCTTTGAAGGCAAAAGGTGTAAGTTGCATCTTCCCTGATACATGCCACAGACAAGATTCCCATGGTCAGGATGACCCAGTGCTTCAGGGTCCTTTGTGCACTTGTCAGCGCGACAAGTTTGCTGTCAGCGGAAAACAAAGGGAGGCACGCGCGGATGGATGTGGTGTTTTGGTCCAGGAAAGCTCGAGCGATCCTGATCCTAGGAAATGTGCGCAAGGTCAAGGGTTTGGAATTTAAAGCTGACACCTTCAAACCATTTCAAACCCAAGGCCACAGCGTGCACACCCTGAACAAAAAATCATGGAAAGCTCTCTTCACCCCCAAAAGAGGACCAAGTCGGGTGCCTTCTCCAGCTGTTTGTGCGATTTGATGCTGCGTAGCAAGTTGGATGTCTTTCTCGCTGAGGTTGGGCGCTGGAAGTGGTGAGTGGGTCATGTCCTTAACTGGAAGCGTGCCAAGCCTCCCAAAGGCCAGCATGCTTTGGAGTTGAGGATTTGCTCTCCAACAGCGAATTCGTGCTCCTGGCACCAGGTTGCGGCACAAGCCGAAGCAGACCGCCAGTGCAACTGGGTCAGGGGGCCCAACAACCCTGTCAAATCAGGTGGCCTCACAGTGACACCCGCTGAAACCTCATGGACATGTCATGACTGCTTGGTGCCACACATCGACCGATCCAAGCAACGACCGGAATCCCACGCGTTCTTCGCGGCGAAGAACCGGATCCTCCGCTGAGGTGGCCTTGGAGCTCATGCGTGATCGCGCAGCGAAGCTCAGGGTTACGCGACGCGAAGATCGATCGACTGGGCGGTGCCGCGGACGGAACCGTGTGTTGGGGGGATGTGTTGAAGCTGCGTATGCTGTGTTGGGGGCGGGTGAGGCGCCAAAACGCCCAACATGCCGCAAAAGACCAACACACACACACTTATGTGCGGGTTGGGTAGGTTAATGCGAATTCAGGGTCAACGGAGGTGTTGAAAAAAATCACAGTTGTGCCGGTTTTGTGGTGCGCAAACGAAAGAGATTCCATGGCGAGGAACTGTGAAGAATTTGGTTGTTTGGTGATGTTTGGCGAGGAAAGGTAATTTGCGTCACCTGAAGGAACAAAAGGGATGCGTCCACGTGTTGGAAAATGATGTTCTCTTTGGCGCATGTCAAAACTAGTGTGCAAGTTGCGTTAGATTCCTGGAGTTTCCCACTGCTGTGGTTCAGTGCAGTGGGCAGTTTAGCCGGTGGTCGAGTGGTTTTGGTCTCAGGCTCATAGCATCTTGAGGAGGGCCAGCCTACAGGCGAGGCAGGGCAGTGCTGCGCCGCAGAAAAGAACATGCACAGATGCGGCGTCGTGGTCGTGACGTGAGGTTCTGCGGAATTTGGAACCGGAGGTTTTTCGCGGACGCCGGAAGGTCAAGCCAGTCTCCTTGGTTTGACCAGGTTCGTTAAATCGGAGTTCAATGACCCAGATGAGTGGAGAGATTGGGAAAGATCAGCAGGTTGGGTGAGTGACATTTCATATACATGTCATTTGTTGTGCAATTGTTTGCTCTTTTGACTTAGTGCTTTTTGCAGAGCAAAAGGGGGCCGGGAAAGATTTCCAGAGAATGGTTGCAAAGACTTTTGTTTTTCCAAGTCAGGCTAGGGGCAACTAGGGATCGGAACGGGAAAGAACCTTATTGCTGTACTTGCCTTTGCGTTTGGAGCATGAAAGAGAATGAAAGCAAGATCTACACATGTACGCACAACAGTGCTATGAGTCCCGGGAAGAGCTTGATGAGTCCCAGGTCATGTACAACTGCCTTACTAGTTCATGAGATGTAGATCAAAACCCAGAGCCCGAAAACGCTGGATTTTGCGGGTCTATTTTCATCTGTTTGTTCCTTTTCGGTCACCAGGGTAGAAAAGAAGGGTGCCACCCACAGGCGCCACCCGTCGGGCGCCACTGATCCAAAAGCTGGTTTCTCATGAAGAAGTGAATCCAGGGCCTTCGGAAGCTTTGCATCCTCAGTGGAGATGCTCTTCAAATGCTCCGGTGGGGTGACGAGTCGGACGAGTGTGGACGAGTTGGAGGAGGTGGTGGAGGTGGTGGTGGATGAAGGTGTGAAGGTGTGGATCTTGACTTGTATCTACAAAGGAAAAAGGATGGAACTTGTGGTAGAAGGACGTAGAAGGATCATTTGGACTTGTAGTAGAAGGATGGAACTTGTAGTAGAAGGATGAGAAAAGGTCTGAGTTTGGTTCATTTGGACTTTGGAACTGCGAATCAGCGGCCCCAAGGCCGCTGAAATCCAAAGAGGGCAGAGATGTAGGCCAATCTGAGAAATCACCGGTCGAGGTTGATGTCATGCAGGGTTGAACTGCTCCAGTGACTACTAGGACTGTATGCAATCAATTCATGTGCTTGATAGCAAAGGGCTCCTCTGGTCCTTTATTACTTTTGGCACTCGTTCCCTTCTGCTCTTGATGTAGCAGTTTGAGTTCCTCATGCAGGAAGTTCAGTGTGGGCGGAACTCCGATGCACAAGAAAGATGCTCCGTTTCGACCAATGCAGTTAACAAAAGAAGAAGGAGAAGAAGAATAAAATAACAAAGAAGAACAAGGCATCACTTTGAGCCTTCTACTGCGCCTTTTTTTTGCAGTACCATCAACCTTGCGACGGATGACCATTGGCGTCGACTCAGACATCAGGATGAGTCGACTCAACCGCTGATCTGTGCAAAGCGTGGAATCAACGACCAAGCGCATCATCAACGACCGAAGCGCCGAAGCGCCTAGTTTTTGTTGGTTGATCGAATCATATTGAATCCCAGTGATCATCAACTGGAAGCTCCCAGTGGAAAGCTTCACCAATTACAGGAATCGTTTCTTTGGCACCTGGTTTCTTCGTAGGAAACTTCACCAAAGATATCCCCGAAGGCATCCACATCTTTGGGCAGGCACCTTGTTCCCAGCACTTCCGTCTCGCACGTCTTCGTGAACTTCCCTGAGCCGCCGGAGGCCTCAGAACGTCCAAAAGACATCAACCTAGGTGAATCTCCCAAATCACACTTTTCATCCAACCAAAAACAGGCTGCTTCGCATGCGAGACCGACATCCTGTGACCACCTGTGTGTTGTTTCTACGCTTTGTGACACCTGTGGCGGGGGAGGTAGACATCCACAGAATTCTTTTTGGTGCTTTCAGCCTGTAGCACTTGTTTCTACACTGTAGCACTTCAGCCATTCAAAGGCACTGGTGGAAGCCTTCCCGTGAGAGTCACGGGCTCGGTTTATTCTGTTATCACCATGGCAAAATCCTCTATAAAATGAGGAGGGTCCACCCTCCATTTTTTGAAATACGACCCCTACGCCTTTGGGGGGGGTCAGGTCCTCACTTTATAGAGGAAACTGTTTGTGCATGATGTCGCCGCTGCTTTCATTTACTTTCCTGAAGCACCTGCAAAACGGTAGTGTTTGCTCATGAACAAAAAACACATGACAAACCTTCATGTATGTAAGAATGAGAGATATAGGACGATATAGGACAGGTTAGCAGGGTGAACACATATTATGCTTTTGACAATACTTGGCGAGCATTTGACCAGTAGTTTTGCTGGAGATTAAGACACAGATATATAGGTAGGTCTGATAGACTCAACTTAGAATTTGCGTGTTTGGACCCCCAGATTCAAACGAGGTTCCCCAGCCAACCTGCTCTCCACCGTTTGATGCCTTTTCCGACGAGTGTTTGGACCCCCCCATTTTGCCACGATGAGGTTCTGTTTATGTTGTTTAATCTTGCCAATCAAAACACTTCAAAATACAACATTTGGATATATCCATTTGGATGGAAAGAAACATTCCACCCAAAACATCTAATATATAGTTATATAATATATATGTATTTTTTCGCCTTTGGATTGGATTTCGACATCAGGCCCTTTGTCTCTGGCGAAGTTGCGGAGCACCTTGACATCCGCGTTTGTTGCGGAACGCGGCGCGTCAGGTTGGCCTGCGCTTTGTTGGCCTCGTTTTCGCCCAAAGCCGTTCTGGGGGTGGACACCTAGCTGTATGATGCCAATGCTGACTATATGCGGTAAATCATAGAGGTGAGTGGTCCACAGTGGTTCCCCAGATCATCCCTTTCTTGCAAAGGTTGAAGTTAATTCATGCATAATCTTGCTGGTATAATCTTCCCTGAAGGGTTTTGACATGTTTTGATCGTGATGGGTATGGCAAGTGGCAAGCTCAGCCAAGCGGCAAGCCAAGGTCCACTTATCACATGATGACCTCCGAACTTTTTGAAGAGTGAGGGCCTTAGTGCTGCCTTAGTTTTGGCACCCTTCTCAGAGACCTGAGAAAAGACATTGCGATAAATTTTGAGGGGCTTAGACGATAAGTGCTTAGACGAAAAGAGAGAGAGAGAGAGAGACAGACTGAGACACCTTCACCAATTTCTCACAGATAAGACTCCGCGTAGCAGTTGCAATTGTCAATGTCAAGCCATAAGAAATTCTATGATCGTTGCAGCATTGACATTGATTGTAGATCATAGAATTGATTATATCTCAGATATATATATAAATATATATATATATGATCGTTACATCATATCTTCAATGGTCTGAGATGTCATGTCACTGGTGCCACCTGAGGATGCACCGAGTGCTGCAGAAGGGGTGTCAGATCACCATCCTCTCAGACAACCACAGGCGTCCGTCGGTGGGATGAATTGGCGAGGAAACATTCCATGGAAATGAATAAGTCATGTGTTTTTTCTTATATTATGGTTTCATTGGGTTTCTGTTTGTTCTTTTGACAATTTCTTTAGTTTTCTTGCTTTCTTCCTTTCTTTCTTCCTGTTGTTTTCTTTCCTTCTTGTCCAAACAGTGAACACATTGAGATACCAGTACTCCGGAGGTTGCAAGTGTGGCAGCTGTTTTTGTGGAAGTTGTAGGGTGCAAGTTATATGAAAGTTATGAAAGGGTCCCATCTCGAGAGAGAAGATGGGTCCGTCCGTCTTCAGGTATATGCAAAGCTTGGCACAAACCGCCACCTGGCTGCGTTTGCGCTTGGACATGCGTGACGTTTGGTCAACAAGAACTTATAGGGTGGTAACCCCAAAGACATCGAGCAGACAAGCCTATGCTGCATGTGCTTACAACATGTTCATGTAGTCTGACACTGTTCATCTCACTGTCCCGTGCTCATCTGAATCCATACATGGCTTTGTCTCCGCTTCCCCTCGGTGGAGATGACGTTGGACACGAACAAATCAGTTCAACTGGTTCAACAGTTGAACTTTCTCTTCACAAAGATCTGAAGGTTCTAAGAAGCTTTGAGATCCGTGTACCTGGAGGATTCCAGAGCTTCCACCAGCTTCACGGGTTCCAGTTTTGTAGCGCCCTTAATTTCAGGGGCTTAAGTGGCTGCGTGAACAGGAAGGCAGTGACAGCTATGGGATGGCTCGACAGTGCCACATGTTTTGTGCGCGACCCTTCGCTGTGCGAATCCCGGTTCACCTTTCCTCAGGGATCGAACATGATCGAAACATCTCAACATTCTACAAGATTCTACAAGGGTTGAGATAGCTTGAGAGAATTTGAGAGATGCCTCGTTTGACCAACACAACACCAACACGCTGGTTCCTTCAACAAGTCCACGCCATGAAAAACATCGCGATGCTGCCGTGCTTGTTCCTTCGCCTTCAGGCCGGTAGTCTGGAGCCCAGAAACGGACGAACGGGTGAGCTATGTCTCTTGGTGAGCTAGGTCTCCAGATAGCGCCATTGAACGAAGAATCTGCAAGTGAACGAAACGGGTCTCGGACCGCTGATTGTCCTTTACACTTGGCTATCTCCTTGTGAACGCGATATAGTTGATTCATGTGAGACTCATCCCAAGAAATCTAGAGTTCACATGTCCCGTGTCCGCAACTATTCAATCGACTGGGCACTAAAAAGCTTTGGTCCTCCGGTTGAGTCGTTTTCTCCGCCAGTCGACTTCAGTTGAGTGTGGATGCCAAACGTTTCGGTCTGGGAGGCACATCACTATAGATTACGAATGATGACCATACCTTTTTCAACCCACATGAATAAAGTGGCTGACTGACCGTGTTATGGTCCTGAAATGCATTGAACCAATGTTTAAACATATTCTGTTAACTGTTTCTTAAAGTACTCATATTGTTCACCCTTTGTTCACCCTTTGTATTCCTTTGCATTCTGTTGCTATTGGGTCACTGCTCTGTGCCCAGAGGTTTGGTGGAACGGGGACTCTTTTGCTCGGTCACAGGGCCTAGCACGCTGCGGTGGAACGGATGTGGAACGGACGATCCCTGGCTGGACATGTGACGATGCTGACGATACATTGTCCTTTACTGGTGGCTGATTGATGAACGGAATGAATACTATTAAGAGAAGAATTGACAGGTCAATGAGCCCCTGACTCTATATTTGACTAAGAGGGCATCGATTGGCTGATGTGTTTCGTGAATCGACGGATGCATCGCACACTCCCAAACACACGCTGCTCGAGCGACACGCTGTGTTCAGAATGGATCGGGTGTTTTTGACCAAGTGAATTGGATGAAGAATGGCCTGGTGGTGAAACTTCATCATTGCTGACATGAGACGAGTAGACGAGTTGGTTTTTGAGCTTCACCATGGGAATCTTCAGTGAACTCGGCATCTCAATGCCCGGATTCGAACAGTTTGGTTCTCTTTGGTGGGAATGACCCCAGACACGACTAATGGGACTGCCATAGGACTGCCGCCCCAGACAGACGCCCAGTCAACCACCCCTGGCCGTTTCTCAGCAGTCCGTCATGGCCAGTCCCATGGATCGTCGTGTCTGGGGACCTCTGGCCGCCACCGTCGCCACCGTGTGTCGCGACCGGAGGACCGATCGAGACCGGATTCTCACGTTCTGCCCGACGGTGTCGGCGATCTCATCGTCGCAGAGTGTACCGTCCGATGCTTAATATATATACATATATGTCAATAGGGATGAGGTCCCAGTATAGTTGCTATACAGGTACATGC